TCCATCTGACTAATACATTCTGCTAACACCACCGAACACATGGGTGGGGATGATAAAAGTCTATGGTCATATGTGCTGTTCTTGTCTTTAGTGAATGTTAATGAACCCAGTTATTGAGAAGAGTTACGTAATAAATTTATTTTCAATCCTTACCAAAATAGACTAGATAGTTTATTAATAAAATCATTTTTAACAAGTTAGGTTTTTTAAAAACAATTAATAATTGAGATAAATAATCTCATGTACAGGAGTAATAACATGAAATTTATTGTTATGAAATTTCAGACTGTCTCCTTATAGTACCTATCAGTTTCGTGTTCAAGCCCACAATGATGTTGGTGCTAGTTATTACAGTATACCATCAGAGCCAATCACTACACTTCAAGACTGTAAGTACCAACTTGCAATTATAGTGAATGAGTAAAAATGACTTCAATTGAAACACGATGGAGATATGATGACAAATGTAAAATACTCATTTACTGGTATCTTGTCCTTGTCCTTGTCTTTCTACTTTCTTCTTCTACTATTTCCTGACTGATCACAGTCTTTTACTCATTTTACATATCTTGTGTGTTTTATAGTTCCAGAAGATTCTCCAACTATTACTGATGTTATACCATATACAGCCACCTCACTTCGTGTTATCTGGCGGGTAAGTGATTGCAGACTAACTATGCTATTGTATGCTTGCATTCCTGCTAAAGAAGGCTAGTGTGAGGCCAACCGCCCTTGTGTTGTGACATCCTGTTTTTTTGCATGGCAATGAGTGTGACATGGTGGATAGAGAAATGGTATGAATAGATGTATGAATAATACACAATACAATATAATGTGTTTCCTATTCTTTGCATAATAAATAGATATGCACAACTGAAACACAATGACTTCTCTCAACATTTATTTTTATCTCACTCTTAAATTCCTGTTTTTGCTTCTGGATACCCGTTTATAGGAGTCACCTGCTAGAATTAACACTCTTCTTGTATTATTTCAACAGCCACCAGCATCTGAGGATATAAATGGCATACTGAATGGTTTCAAGATACAGTACAAGATACTGAGACAAATTAGCTATATGGAGCATGTTATATCTGATACACGTCTACGACAATTTGATTTAACAGATTTATCTATCTATGAGAATTATGAGATAGTGATGAGAGTTTTCAATATCATTGGCGAGGGACCACCTAGTGCTCCTTATACAATATATGTAGGAGAAGCTAGTAAGTTACTGTGTTTTCCTCAGTTTACTTGAAAAGATGAACATAAGAAATTTGTTACTCAGAATGTAACAGATATTATTGTCCTATTCCCAACAGATTATTACCCATATGCATATTAGAACCAACCAGAATAGCATAGGTAGTGATTTAATTAAATTGCCGGGCAATAAAATTAAATATAACTTTATCGTTTTATGAGACTTTCTCTCATGGTTCTGTCTTAATTACACTACACTATACATTACATGTATGTGTTCTTCAATGAATTCTGATTAAACTGTGTTTCTTTGTTGATAGTTCCTACTGCTGCTCCAGATGATGTATCAGCTGTTCCTATTGGACCAACACAGATTAGAGTCACTTGGAAAGAGCCACCTGAAAACACCCAAAATGGTGGTTTGCAAGGGTACAAGGTACTGTAATCATTTCATTTTTAGCTCTGCTGTCGACTTTGTCGAGCGGAGCTTATCATATGAGTGATTGTCCGGCGTCGTCCGTGTCAATGTTTTAC